TTATTTGGCCTCTTGTTAAATTTTAATCTTTCATATTTTTGTTTAATGGAGTTAATTTCGTCCAACACATTTCTGCACAAAACAGTGTTAATAACTCATCTCTAATAGCTGATGTCGTTCCTCTTCTCCATGATGACAGCACATTATATTAGACTAGATATTCTTCAAGACACTAGTGTTCAGCTTACAGTGGCATGTAAAGGCTTCACTAGGGTAATTAGGGTAAAGTTAGAGTAATTAGGCAAGTCATCCAAATATCTAAATATTTTTAAATCAAGATACATACTAGACGCATGAAATAGCATTAGAAATGATGTCTTTAATATTTCCCCAACATATTAGTTAGTGTGTAGTAATGTCTGGACGGTGATCTTCAGTGTTTTGTGCTGATCAGTTTAGTCTTCGGTTCTGACTCGTCTACTGTATCTGCACATGTATATTACTGTAGAGCATCCTGCAGAGATTAATCCAGTAAGAGAGAGATCTGTGAGATGCTCACCACTGTACGTCATTATCAGGATACTGCAGGACTTGTATTGTGATTATAAGGTTTCTCTGGTGCTCTAACTCTCACATGTTTATATGTAGCTGTGGTTTCTGCCCTGAAGCCGTGATCAGAGATGAAGCTCATGTCTTGCTCATACTGAAACTGAAGGTTACTTTTGCTCTGGTTTGCAGGTCCTGAAAGTAAGAAGCATGTGAAGAAAGCTCGTAAATCAGGCGGTCTGTCGGGCAGCAGCTCAGACGACAGCAGCTCAGAGGACTCGGATAGAGACGCAGAAAGTGACGACAGCTTTAAATCCATCAGTTCTGGGGACGAAGACGACTTTAACCCCTTCAAAGACGACTCCAGCGAGGATGAGGAGGACGGTGAGGCTTTATGGGCTACCTAAAGGCCTGTTTACACCAAGCAGGATTACTATACTGATGAGAATAAACTGACAGGTCGGAGTGATGGTGTTAAAGCAGCAGTGTGTGTGTGGTGTGTGTGCTAGTCAGGTGTGTGCGCTTCATCTAGAACTGCACATCTATAATCCTCTTAGTCTATGCTGACATTATCTTCAGCAGCTCAAACACTCTAATGGCTAATGGACAGACGGCTGCTTCTCACTCAGGCCTGCTGATTATGCTAATGAGATGGAGAGATGGGCACTAGTGGGCGGGGCTTTCCCCCTCTGATGACACGTACGTAGGGAGAATGCCAATCAAAGTGTTTCTGCATCAAGTCTGATTAGAACAAACACAACTCACTCATGTTGATCATCAGAGGATGGAGATATTCACACACTGCTGACACAACTGGGGTTAAACCCCTTGTGAAGGTGATTTCTTCATAATAGGTGCTCTTTATTTCCAGTGTAATGAGAGAGATTATCTATTATTTGTCCCTCAGATCCGTGGCTCATCAGGAAAGACTCCAAAAAGAGCAAAGACAAGAGGAACAAGAAGAAGAAAAAGAGCATTGATCCAGACTCCATTCAAAGTGCCTTACTGGCCTCCGGGCTCGGGACAACCAGACCTACATTTACAGCTCCCATCAAACCCGCAAACCCCACGCTTGCTGTCGGTGAGTGACGTGCAGAGCTCCGCATACAGCAGTGTCTCTCCTACAGGAATATCCTCTGCTGGAGGATTTACAGTAATATATCTGTGTGCAGATACAGTAGACACTGAAGATCACAGTGCAGACATC